CGATGTCTTCGTGGAAATCCAACCATGTGTTGTTGATCTTATAGACTCTATCAACAAGAGTGCGAGTGAGACCCAGTTTGTAGGGATAAGGTATAAAACTAAAATAATTAGTCTACAGGCCATGAAGATTTTCTTACGGTAAACACTTGTGACAGAAAAATGGGTCTCATCGTTGATTAAAACATCGAGGAAAAAATACCATTCCTTGAACTCGATATATGACATATATTGCGCCTTGGATAAAAGTCAGCGGGTCTCTTTTAACTTCTTGGCTGGATTCCTGAAACTATTTATAAATAAATAGATTTGATGCTAGTAAAATCATCATGCATCGTTGTTTATGAATACGAACTTTCAAAAAGTTTAAATGCTTACCTAATTTTTGAAATGAACTATGGGCCTTACAATTTTACAAAAGTATAATACAATATGTTCATACAAGTAAAATCCACAAATGTATACGTTATGTGACGTGTTAAGTTCCCTAAAATCCCTGAGATACAAGTTATTGGCATGGAGGTACATCATCGGAGAACAACTTCTTTTAAAGCGCTCGGTTTTGTCATAACGAACGGCCTGTCATTGTTACATAGGGAGCGCCCATGCACCCGTTATCGGATCCGTGGAATCACGCTTTTTTATCTTGGTGAATAGTTTGCTTCCTTGTGGTAAGTGACATACACTCAGCAGTTACTACCTTATTTTTTAATAACTAGTGGAGTCGTTTCTTTCGTGTGATTCTACCGTTATTTAAAAAGGCTAACTCTGATAGTTTAAAAGAGCTGAAAATCGTGACAAAATGCAGAATTGTACCCTCTTTCTGTGTGAAATCCTTAATTATAATCGACTCACATTAGAGTCCGAGAGTTCTGAGAAATATGTGGGAGGAGAGATGAAAAGAAACATCTCTTTAAAAGGGAATAATAATGCTAAAAATAATAAAAAATATGAAGAAGTCTGATATATTCTACAGAAAAAGTTTAATTTCCGAAAGTAACAAGAGGCTTCAGAATGAAACGTGCGAGTGCTTTTGGTGAAACCGAAGTTTTATATTTTTTCGCTAAGTTCGCGTTGGCTACATGTTCGCTACATGTTCGCTTCATGTTCGCTACATGTTCGCTACATGTTCGCTACATGTTCGCTTCATGTTCGCTACATGTTCGCTTCATGTTCGCTACATGTTCGCTTCATGTTCGCTTCATGTTCGCTACATGTTCGCTATATTTAAATACATGTTCACTTCATGTTCTCAATATTCAACTTCGAGCTCGCTACATCAGCAAACCCCCTGAATAACTTTTCAAATTACAATAATTAATAATTACTGCAATCTCTCAATACCTTCTACTCGTACCTTCGGTCGCCAAAATGTACTCTATTTGTACGGCCAGCAACTCACTTCATCTGCTTAAGATTCCAGATTTAAGTAACTAGATTTGAAATGGTAGCAAGACAACGTATGGAAATGTTTTCGTTAGTTGAGATATTCGTAGCAAATTACGCTTAGACAAGAAATGTTCTCCCGAGCATAAACTTTGCGTTCTAAACTTAGGCATAGACTTACAACAACAAACGATCGAGATTTACATGAGTATGAATATTACCTATGAAAGTTAGAAACTCCAGACATAAATTTTTAAAGTTACATAATTTTACAAGTGGCTGGGTGCCAATATATTGTAAACTCTCCTTGGTTCTGTGGTAAATAAAGTATTGAAATAGTCTTCCTTATAATGTTGGTGAAATCGACTTAGGTGTAGCGAACTTCGGCCGCGGCAGTTATCGGGGGTAGGGGGGACGCTTACTCGTGTAAACACTGAATTCAACGTGACGAGAAACTACAACGCTCAAAACGTCCGCTTCTAAACTCTTTGCGATGGCCAATTTACGTTATCAACTCAGTTGATAATTCTAAATTACCCTGTTATACTCTCCTACCGACGCAGCAGCACAGTTTCTTTAGAAACTTACCCCCTTTATTCATTTGAAATATTACTTAGCCACGGAAGTAAAATTACACGTCATAATGTCTGTTAAGACTCTCCAAGTTTACTGTTTGCAATCCTCGTTCCTTTGTAAATCATTATTACCCCATTTTTGGTTGACAAAGGAAAGAGAGTGAAGAGTAAGGAGAGTGAAGTTATGTGATATCTCAACACGGCTGAAAATGACTCACAACCACAACCTATTAATGACAAAAACGAATCTTTCGTGAGACAAATTTATCTCAAGACTTTATTTCAAAATGAATCATTTAATAATCACGTGTATAGTGAAGACATATGTAAGTCAACCACTATTATATGACCGCCTAACTCAGGAAGAGAATACTTTATCTTAGTCCTCAATTCTGTTCCTGCACTTTAGATCATAATACAACAAAGATTCAATATGTAGACCCCTAGGCCATTATGATGAAAAAGTATCACAAAAAGTTTCCAGTTCTAGGTGTCACAGCTGAAGGGGTTTAAGCCTTTTTCTTTAACCTCAAATAAAAAATTACCCTGCCAAAAATTTAACCCAGAATCTAATGAAAATTAATGCACCTACATAACCGAAAAATGTGCACGTGCACTGATGGACTCACATCCCCATCTCGGTGGATTTGATTCAACCTCCTCTCCCCACCCCACCCCCTATAACAGAAAGAAGAAATAAATTCTGAAAATCAAAATATTCCGTCATTTTCCTTCCTCTGACAATAGCATTCTTGATCGTTCTTTGAATCGATATGTGTCATTACGTCGTAGATTCGAATTAAACTTTGGTATAAATGTTGGCTTCCCTCTAAATCTTCGTTTGCAGTGAAGGGAGATATGATGAAAACAAACATTCACGTATGTTGGAAATGAAAACTCGCCAAACTTGACTGCTACCATCCTCCCAGAGTGAAGGGCTAATGTCCACACAACCCACCCCACCGATGCAGCACCGCAGTTTCTTCAGAACCTTAACCCCCCCTACTCCCCACCCCCTATTCAAATGCACGATAGCTTATTTAATAGCTCAGCTCAGTTCCTCTTCTTTCTAAAACTAAATAAGTCAAATAAACCAAATCCTCTACGACGAAACATGACTTCTTGCTAGTAGAGAAAGACAGCACTTAAATTATTATGGAGGACTTATTTTATTAGCGCGTACACGTAAGGAATATGATTTCCTGTGATTCTGATTTACGACAAATTTTGTTTCAGGAGCTTTTCGAAAAAAGGTTCGTTTAAAAGGTTGAGCGAATTTCGGGTGGCAGCATCAGTAAAATATGAATATTTTTGTGCAGGCGCAGAATTTCCTGCAACCCTCAATTTTCGATCATTTATTCGGTAGCTATGGTAACGGTAGAGTCCTCTAAAGATACCTTACATCAGTGCCATTTTAATTCCGGCTCTTTTCATTATTTGAACTGAGCCTGCTTCAACTCTCCTGCTTGTCGTTAGGTGTAACGGCCCATGGAAATGAAAAAAACACTGTCTTGTTAACTGGTTCAATCTTCGAGTTCGATTTACAGTTTTTCTTGGTGTTGCGTAAACTAAAGCTGGAGAGAAGTTTCGTTTTCGAATAATCATTATTCACTGACCTTCAATCTGTTGCACGTATTAAGCCATTTGACTATCACTTTATCCAGAAAACCAAGAAGCAGTTTATCTATTTCTGTGATAATTTGTTTTTCATTTAGCTCAGTTAATAACATTTGCGTAGTCTCGTGTTTGTTTTACATTCGCATTGAAAAAAAAAACCATTGAATTTCGGAATGTTTATTTTATTTGAACAGTTTGCCGGTCTTCAATTTCTTGATATGATGTCATTAGCTTGGTAGATTCGTAAAAAAAATATGAAAATGAAATTGTGAAGCAGCGTCGGATTTAACTAAAAAATGTATTTCATAGATACAGCTGAGTAAAAAATGTCTGTATTCGAGTCACATGGCCCACCCGGCTATAGTTTAACTCGGTTCCCTTAGCATGATGGAATGCTAGTACATCGCGAGATTCCCTCCCCAGCATTTCATCAGTCTTTCTTAATAATTATTCGGTACCTTTTATACTCTTGGGTGGAAAGAGACACTGTGAGAATAAAGTGTTTTGCTCAGGAACACAACACAATACCCAGTCAGGTCTCGAACCCAGACCTCTCGAAACGAAATCCAGCGCACTGCCTACTGGGCCATCGCGTCCGAAGATAGATCAAAAAAATGGTCGGTTTAAGTTAAACTGTCATATCAGCGCGACCTATTTTTCATTTCAACCAATTTATCCCTTCCCCTTCGTCTTTCCTTGTTTTCAACCTCTTGGGTTAAGTTAATTAAGAAATGGTTGCTAATAACAATGAGAATCAACCACACCCTTGAGTTAATCATTTGTTTTATTTTCCAGATGATGAGGCTTGAAATTCTACATTAAGCACAGCGAAAAAAAAACCCTTACATTAGCAACCCAGCATTTTCCTTCACCCAACCCAGATTATGCTGGCAAAATAAGACTACTGCCTCAAATCTTTTCCATCTGATCCGGAGGAAGACAGGTCAGATGCGTTTCACTTCGATTCTGCAAAAAGAAAAAAAAACAAAACAAAACAGAACACCACCGTGATAAACCAAAGGCTAAAGTTTGTTCTATAGCTGAATTGCATTTTCAAAGTTCCACCCATTTAACTCAATTTTTCTTAAATTCGGAAATTTCTCCTACCGCTGTCCTCGTTTTCCTTTTGAACTCCTTATCTCATTAAAAAGTAAAAGCCTTTATACAGGCCCAAGTGGCCCATGGGGCCGGCACTTAGCTCCGGTTTCCTTTGCATGAAGCGGCTAGGAGTATTGCTATTATTGAGATAAACCTCTGTGACTTTTTTTTAAAAAAAGAATGCTCATCACTACACGTAAATTAGAAAGAGAATTAAATATATCATTAAAAAGAAACACAAAATTTCAAAACCTTTTTGAAATTTTTTTTCTGGCAGCAGTATCAAAATGTAAAATGTTTCACTTCTTGAGCATTATGCATACCTGGACAGACTTTGCAACTTTCGGGGCAATTGAACAACATGTACCCTGGATTTTTTTGGCATTCACCGCTCGATGCCCAGGATTTACAATGTTCGTTCTTATCCTGGCAAGCTGACGGAAAAAAGTAAAGCAATATACATGTACGTGCATCGCTTAATCTTATCAGATTTCATTAACATTTCTGTTTGAATCACATACCCCTGAATCAGGATCTCATCATGCCTGGTCACCCATGCTACCGGACCTTTTCTTTTTTCCTAATCTCGCCTTCCCACTTGTTCCTTGTGAATTAATTCCCATGCAAGTCATTTCAGTGAGAGAAAGAGCTGTAATTACGAGGGCCTACACAGAGGATTGCATTTAAATTCAACGAGAACTCATCCATTGTGGTATATGGCATGCGCTAATAAACGCAAAAGGTCTCTTTGTTTGAAGTCTTTACACAAATCACCCAAATTTAATGCTGAACCGTCATGGTGACTACAAAGAAAGCTAACAGTTATATAGAGGTGTCCATCGGGGAAGGAGTCGGGGGGAGGGGGGAAGAGCTTGAACATTTTTTGAAGAATATCACTATGATTGAAAATTCAGGGAATGCCCATTGGTGTATATAAATTGGCAGCAGATTGAAAATGTAAGCATAAAAAAGAGAGAAAAAAGCATGACGTGGATCTATTATTACAAAATCTTAAAAAGTTTTGGGTAATCTATTTCACTTCTTGAGCATCATGCATACCTGGACAGACTTTGCAACTTTCGGGGCAATTGAACAGCATGTACTTTGGATTTTTTCCGCATTCACCGTTAAATGCCCAGGATTTACAATGTTCGTTCTTGTCCTCGCAAGCTGACGGAAAAAAAGTAAAGCAATATACATGTAAGTGCATCGCTTAATCTTATCAGACTTCATCAACATTTCTGTTTGAGTCACATTCCTCTAAATCAGGATCTCTTCATGCCTGGTCACCCGTGTAGCCGGACCGTTGCTATTAAATTCAACCAGAACTCACCCATTGTGGCTTATGGCATACGCTAATATACGCAAAAGGCCTTTTGCTTTGGTGTCTTTACACGAATCATCCAAAGATAGCTAACAGTTATGCAGATGTGGCCGTCGGGGCAGGAGTAGGGGGAGGTGGTGAAAAAAGTATTTTTGAATAAAAAAAACTATGATTGAAAGGTCAGGGATGCCCATTTGTGTGTACAAAATAGCAGCAGAATCAAAATGCAAGCATAAGAAAGAGAGAAAAGAGCATTACATGGATCTATCATCACAAAATTTTGATTATGGGTAACATATTTCACTTCTTGAGCATCATGCATACCTGGACAGACTCCGCAACTTTTGGGGCAATTGAACAGCATGTACTTTGGATTTTTTACACATTCACCGTTAAATGCCCAGGATTTACAATGTTCGTTCTTATCCTCGCAAACTGACGGAAAAAAGTAAAGCAATATACATGTAAGTACATCGCTTAATCTTATCAGACTTCATCAACATTTCTGTCTGAATCACATTCCCCAGAATCAGGATCTCTTCATGCCTGGTCACCTGTGCTGCCGGACCGTTTTTGTTTTCCTAATTTCGCCTCCCCACTGGTTCGTTGTGAATTAATTCCCATGTAAGTCATTTCAGTGAGTAGAAGAGCTGTAATTAACAGGGCCTTTATTGAGGGTTCCAATTAAATTCAACGACAACCCACCCATTGTGGTATATGGCATACGCTAATATACGCAAAAGGTCTTTTGCTTTGGTGTCTTTACACGAATCATCCAAAGAAAGCTAACAGTTATGCAGATGTGGCCATCGGGGGAGGAGTGGGGGGGGAGGTGAGATTTGAGGGGTGGGGTTGGTGAAAAAAGTATTTTTGAATAAAAACACTATGATTGAAAAGTCAGGGAATGCCCATTGGTGTATATGAATTGGCAGCAGAATCAAAATTTAAGCACAAGAAAGAGGAAAAAAAGCATTACATAGATCTACCATCACAAAATTTTAAAACGTTATGGGTAATCTATTTCACTTCTTAAGCATCATGCATACCTGGACAGACTCCGCAACTTTTGGGGCAATTGAACAGCATGTACTTTGGATTTTTTACACATTCACCGTTAAATGCCCAGGATTTACAACGTTTGTTCTTATCCTCGCAAGCTGACGGAAAAAAAATAAAGCAATATACATGTAAGTGCATCGCTTAATGTTATCAGAGTTCATCAACATTTCTGTTTGAATCACATTCCCCTGAATCAAGATCTCTTCATGCCTGGTTACCTGTGCAGCCGGACCGTTTTCTTTTCCTAATTTCGCCTCCCCACTCGTTCCTTGTAAATTAATTCCCATATAAGTCGTTTCAGTGAGGAGAAGAACTGTAATTAAGAGGGCCTATGCGGAGGGTTGCAATTAAATTCAACGAGAACTTACCCATTGTGGTATATGGCATACGCTAATACACGTAAAAGGTCTCTTTGCTTTAATAGAGTGATTTAGCAAGACGACGGGAACGTCATTTCAGAACGGAAAAGCGCGCGGATAGTCTGGACACGACTCTATTTCGACTTCCGGTGTTAGCGTTGCCGTTCTCCCCAACAAGTTCAGGACGTCATTACGCTGGTTCTCCCGTCGCGATCAAAACGCCTGGGATTTGCGTAAATTTTGCGCTTATAAACGAGATAATGCCGTTTGGAATTATTTCAGAACTCATTTCCAGGATAACCTGGTCCCTTCCTTTGGTTTATTCGGTGTATTGTGAGAAAAATTACCGCTTCATTTATACTAAATTCCCGAAAGGAAACATAATCGTTGGCAAGCGCCGGATCCAAGATTTTAGGGCTCAGCACACTTGTTATTGAGCAAGGCTTAAAACAGCGCAAGGGCTGTTCTTTGATACATTTCGTTAATCCTGTATGAGAACTCTAAGAATGGGACGCTTTTAATTTTATCATGAATCAATTCATTAATAAATTAAACTTGCTTCATGTTGAAGTTTATCAAAATGAAATATCACGACGCTTACCTACTGTATTATTCAGTGTGATTTTTTGTTATTGTCGTTTTTACCGTGATTGAAAACTTTTCTGCGAATTGAAGTCAGATATGAAATAAAATTGAGAATAGCTCAGGTATGCACTTTTTTTATGTTTGAAATTTTTGATCAGCGCCGATGAAAACTAAGACAAGAAAGTCATGCTCTCGCTTCGAAATAAAATGACAATCAACTTGATTTCTGCACGGCTTTCTAAATCGATTAATTTGATTCAGTCTTGAACGACTTCATTCGTTAAAAAAAATTAAAATAAGCAAAAACGGAAAAAAAAAAACAGGAACGAAGTCTTATTCCAAAGTCTAACCGTTTCGTTGGTGACCAGTTTGAGTTAATTTCATTCTTTCTCGGATAAATAAGAACTCATCGTAAACAACTCCATCATTGGGTCGCTTGGTTTCTACATGGTTTCGCCATAACTCCTGATAATTCCGTTCAAAATGCATTTCAACTCTAAGAAGGTGGTGCTCAAAAGAGATGTCCTATAATAATTGAGAATATTCAGTAAACAAGGGGGAAAACGACGACGATTTCCAAATTATCCTTCACAAAATTATGAAGAAAAACGAGTAGTGATGAAATCTAGTAACACGAAACGAATGACAGCGACACAAATCACAGGAAGAAAACTATTTAGTGGGCTTCAAAATTTGATAGATGAATCAGCAGACTCGACACTCAAATGGAATGGAATAGTTTCAAAGTTTAATCGCCCATGTGGATTCACATTAACAACTTACTTGCCGTATCTATAACTATCCTCTGTTTGCACTTGTTACATAACTCTCAAAGAAGATAATTTCGTTGTCCCTAGAGTGGTCTATAAAACCGAAAATTCAAAGGTGATAGTGATCTTTAAAAAGCCGAGGTGAGGATTCTCGTTGCAACGACTGCTAAATCACTTTTCAACACAACGCTACGGCGTTCTCGACTCAGTTTCTTATCGACATTTTTGCTGCGCGCGCCGTTCTGAAATGACGTTCCCGTCCTCTTGCTAAACCGCTCTATTGTCTTTACACGAATCACCCAAAGAAAGCTAACAGTTATGCAGAGGGGGAGGGGTAGGGGAGGTGAAATGGGGGGGGTGGGGCTGGTGAAAAACGTATTTTTGAAGAGTAATATGATTAAAAAGTCAGGGAATGCCCATTGGTGTGTATAAATTGACAGCAGAATCAAGATGTGAGCATAAGAAAGAGAGAAAAAAGTATTATATGGATCTATTATCGCAAAATTTTAAAAAGTTATGGGTAATCTATTTCACTTCTTGAGCATCATGCATGCAACTTTTGGGGCAATTGAACAGCATGTGCTTTGGATTTTTTACGCATTCACCGTTTGTTCTTATCCTCACAAGCTGACGGAAAAAAAGTAAAGCAATATACATGTAAGTGCATCGCTTAATCTTATCAGACTTTATCAACATTTCTGTTTGAGTCACATTCCCCCGAATCAGGATCTCATCATGCCTGGTCACCCGTGCTGCCGGACCTTTTCTTTTTTCCTAATTTCGTCCCCCACTCGTTTCTTGTGAATTAATTCCCATGTAAGTCGTTTCAGTGAGAGAAAGAGTTGTAATAGTAGAAGAGCCTATACGGAGGGTTGCAATTAAATTCAACGAAAACTCACCCATTGCGGTGGTGTGAAAAACGTATTTTTGAAGAGTAATATGATTAAAAAGTCAGGGAATGCCCATTGGTGTGTATAAATTGACAGCAGAATCAAGATGTAAGCATAAGAAAGAGAGAAAAAAGCATTGCATGGATCTATTATCACAAAATTTTAAAACGTTATGGGTAATCTATTTCACTTCTTGAGCATCATGCATACCTGGACAGACTCCGCAACTTTTGGGGCAATTGACAGCATGTACTTTGGATTGTTTTGGCATTCACCGCTCGATGCCCAGGATTTACAATGTTCGTTCTTATCCTTGCAAGCTGACGGAAAAAAAGTAAAGCTATGTAAATATAAATGCATCGCTTAATCTTATTAGATTTCATCCTTATTTCTGTTTGAATCACATTCCTCTGAATCAGGATCTCTTTACGCCTAATCACCCGTGCAGCCGGACCGTTTTTTTCCTAATTTCGCCTCCCCACTCGTTCCTTGTGAATTAATTCCCATGTAAATCATTTCAGTGAGAGGAAGAGCTGTAATTACGAGGGTTGCAATTAAATTCAACGAGAACTCACCCATTGTGGTATAATACACGCAGAAGGTCTCTTTGCTTTGATGTCTCTACACGAATCATCCAAAGAATGCTAACAGTTATGCAGAGGGGGAGGGGTAAGGGGAGGTGGAATAGGGGGGTTGGGGCTGGTTAAAAGACGTATTTTTGAAGAATAACACTATAATTGAAAAGTCAAGGAATACCCATTGATCTATCACAAAATTTTAAAACGTTAGGGGTAATCTATTTCACTTCTTTAGCATCATGCATACCTGGACAGACTCCGCAACTTTCGGGGCAATTGAACAGCATGTACTTTGGATTTTTTACGCATTCACCGGTCGATGCCCAGGATTTACAACGTTCGTCGCTATCCTTACAACCTGACGGAAAAAAGGTACAGCAATGAAAACATAAACTCACTGCTAAAGAATAATGCGAGTCAGACCTCTTCAACATTTCTCTTTGAATAATATTTCCTTGCGCTTTGTTTTGGAAAAAAAATAGTATGGCAGTCTTTCCAAAGAAAAGCAACGATTTTACCCGGCACTCTTCGTTGCTCGTTTACTTTTCCCTTCACTTACTATCAGCAAGAGATTAAAATGACTTGCTATCATTCGGGGCCTTGGTT